TTCCTTGGCTTCACCAAGTGAATCACATAGCACATGTACTACAGTTCGTCAGTCAAGTAGTTTGTTATATCTCTAGCCATGGCCAATGAATCGAATTGAATTTATACATTACGCAAATGCTGAAAAGCCAACAAATGAAAATGAACAGAGAGCCTATGGGCTATACGGCCGTCGCTCCAGCACTCGAGACCATTAGACGGTCGCAACACGCACGTTGCCTAATAGCTGCAGGTCGTCGTCGTCTCAGGGGCTATGGGGAAGTCGTTGGGGCTTATGTTGAGCGGCCTCATGAATTTTGTATGATAAATAAACGTCACGGCTCGAGGCTTATCTATCAAAAAGTTTCTGTTGCGGCGTACGTGGCGTATGAGTAATGTATCGTAGCGCTCAGCGCAATTAAAGGCAAAGCACGCACACACGCACACAGAAAGAGATCTTCTATTGGGCAAGCTTTGATTAACATATTTTCTTATCAAATGTGAAAAACAAAAAAAGCTTTCTCAAGATGCCGTAGATTACTTTTCAAAAGCGAGGATTTGCATAATTAATTAACGTGTGTTTTTTTTTTCTTCATTTCATTTTATTTTTTTCTCTCTTTGTGGCGCTTACCTTTGGTTTTTATAGTGCACATCAAAAATGCGCATAATTTCGTTAAATATTATAAATCGTTGTAATAAAACAAAACAGATTAAAAACAAAAAAAAAAAGCGACGCAAAAAAATTAACATGAAATTCAATATAAAACTGGTGGCATTTGCTTTGTGCACACATTGAGCCAATCGCGCTGGCTGCATTGCTCACGTTTTATAAATATTTAAGACTTATTTATATGGCCATTAAATCGAGCTAATTTACAGCTACACATATATCGGACGGTATCTGATTAATCAGCGCTAAATGGCTGCGATATATGATACAGCTTTTAAAATATATTATGCAAAAGATTTAAATGCGGATTAAATTGATTTCAAATTGATTAAATTGTTCAAATGCTTTTTTCGGTTGCGTTTTATGTATCAATGATTTCTGATTTCTATTATGCGATCCATTCAAATCCATTCGAAATCAGAGTTTGAATAAAACGAG